CTGCTCCTCTGATGCTGCTTGGCCTGCTGTGTTCATCCAGCTCTACACCTTGTTATCTCAGGAATTCAATTTTTCTGCTTCCCCATTACTCACTTGAGCTTGGATGTTATAGCTTTGAGATTCATGGACAAAGGCTCCCAAATCCCTCTGTTCCATGGTTTCCTGCAATCTTTCATTATTTAAATAATATTCAGCTCCTCTTGTCTTCCTGCCAAAGTGTAAAACCTCACATTTCCCCACATTATATTCCATTTGACTACTTGCTTAACCTAGTTGTATCCCTCTGCAGATTATATCATCCACATCACTTGCCTTCCCACCTATTTTTGTTATCCACAAACCTGGCTATAGTACATTCACCTTTCTCACCCAAGTCATTAGTGTATATTGGAAATAATTATGGCCCACAATTCAAGTTCACTAAAGTGAAATAAAGAACACACAATTTTGCTCTTATCATTCATGTTCACTGTTGCGTCAGCCTTGCGATTACAACTCTTCACACATCTTCACTTGCAACCAAAACAGCTGAACATATTTTCTCGTATATATCCTTCTAGAACATTTTATCTTTTCCAAAATAAAAGGCTTGTTTTATACTATCGCTTCTAAATTACAGCCAACTGCAGCTATTTTTAGTTGAAGCCAATATGGTTCAAATTGTTCTTCAGTAAATGCATCAACATGTGACAGCAAATTAGCAACTAATTCACATTCCTCCTTAGATTTTTGTCTACAATGGGTCATAAACTACTTCAAGAGCACCATGCTGCTGTGCAGAAAAACAAGACACATATTAGTGTAAAGGATATGAAAATAAACTAAATCTTATAATTTTAAGGAGAAATGCAAACAGACAGGCCTAAGGTATTAGTTTGCCTGTGTTTAACCGTGGCTCAATAGGTTAAAAAATTCAGTTCATAATATATATGGGATTTAGGGTTATAAAGAGACAGAGTATAAAATGCTAAGTGCATGTAACACACCAACTTGGTCTATCAGGAGTGTAATCCTAGGCAACATATTCTAGGGAGAACATTAAAATATCAAATATCAATCAGGAGCCAAACTAGGCCATTCAGCCCCTCAAGCATTTAATAAAATCATGGCTGATCTGACTGTAACCTTAACTCCACATTCCTACCTGCCCCGAAAACCTTTTGACCTTGTTTGTCAAGAATCTCTCTTCTTCAGCCTTAAAAATATTTGCAGACACTGCATCCACCACCTCTCCAAATACCCATGACCCCAAGAGAAATAATTTTGCCTGATTTTGGGTTTAAATGGGTGTGCCATTTAAGTAGTGACCCCCACAGTTATAAATTCTCCTATAACAGGAAATATCCTCTAAGAGGATACATCTTAACAAATGCCTTCTGGACACAAAAACATTGAAAGGCATGAAGAAGAAATGTAGAATCATAGAAATGATACAGCACAGAAGAGGGCCAAATGGCCCAACTTATCCATTCCAACACCAAAACACTCGGATGCCCTTTCTTAAACCTGTCTTTCTGCATACAACCCATAGTCCTGCAGCACACAGCACTTAAGATGCAGATCCAGGTACTTTTTAAAGAAAAGTTTAGTGTCTCTGCTTCCACTACTAAATCAGGCAGCAAATTCCAAGCACCCACCACCTTCTGCATAAAAATATTTTTCCTTACATCCTCTCGAAACCTTCTGCCACCTGGCTTGAATCTCTCACCCTGGTTCTTGAGCTCTCTCTGCCAAGGGAAGTAGATTCCTCCTGCCTACTCCATCTCCACCCCTTACAATTTCATAT